ACCAAGATGGCGAGGGAGAACAAGGGAGGAGGAGGAGGGACGAAAGGATGAAGGGATGGATGATGAAGGGGTGGGGTGTGAGGGTTCAGTGCAGGAGGGTGGTTTTGGGTGACAGGCCTCATTGAATAGACCTCTATTCTCCCCTCTGCTGGCTTCTCTTCTCATGCAAAACAGGCCTGTTCAGCCTCCCAGCCATCCGTCACACAACAGAAAGACCATGGCAGGCCCTTTACGAGCCTCACACTCGCATAATCCACCCCCCCACCAACCCCACCATCTCTCAACCCCACAATCCAGCACCCAACAGGGGGTGGAGTGGGTAACGGGAGTGTGTATGTGTGTTGGGCAGTTGGGGGATGGGCACGGGGTATCTTCGCCAAAGTGCCTTTGGAAGAAGGGCCACCTAGGCTGAGAGCAGGACAAAAAAGCAGAGAGACGTAACATGTTTTGAGGCTGCATGGACGTCATATTGGGACACCGGGGAGGTTAGGAGGGGTTAACCTGCCTGGGGTGCAGTGTGTGTGTGTGTATGTGTGAGGTGTGAGTGTTTTTGGAGATTGGGACAGGGGGCCATTGAAAGTGTTGGTACGGGGAGTTACAAGTCAATGACAGCTGGAGGGAGCACAGTTTTTATTTGCGTTATTCGTGCGTGCTGGTGCAGGGCGCATACTCACATTCACTGTGCATGACAATGCCTGTGTGTGGATGCTGCATACATGTGTTACATACAGAGGAGGTGGATACGTGTAGATGTGGATTGCTGTAGTGTGTGTGTGTGCTGGAAGACATTAAGCCGGTCCTCACTACTTTCGAACTATTTGAAGGTCATGCCTCGGTTTCAGGGTTAAAGGAACACTTTACCCCCAAATCAAAAAAACATATTTCTTTCTCTTACCTGTAGTGCTTTTTATCAATTCAGATTTTTTTGGTGTGAGCTGCAGAGTGTTGGAGATATCGGCTGTAGAGATGTCTGCCTTCTCTCCAATACAATGGGACTAGATGGCACTGGGCTTGAAAAACTCAACAGCAATGTCTCTTTCCAGAAATCCAACCATATCTCACTTCAAAGTCGTTAAAATGTTGAGGCAGAAAAAGTCCAAATAGGGTGGGTGGGAGGGATGTTGAATTGGTCCATCAAATATTGACTTTCACCCAGGAAAGCGGTGTTTGCGTCCCGTAAGATTATAGAGCCAAACACTGATTTTGTTGACAAAGAACGCTTTAATTTGCAGTGTTATACCGACGTAGTGCATTTTGTTTTGTAACAGACTGTCAGTAAATGGTACATTTCCTGTGAAACACACAAGGGTATTTTGAAAGACGACAATGCTTTTAACAGGCAGAACTTCACATGGCGCCCAGAATGTCAACAACTGTCGTATCTTGACGTGGAAAGTCCATGACCAAATGTTGGTATGTGACGCGGTCGGAGTGAGAATGTGTTGAGAAATCATGACCAGGTTACTCGAGATAATCCACAAACCTTGCTGTGACCAGTTTCAAGTAGGAACTATTTTCTGTCTACTGAACATAACCAAGCCCAGCAGAACTGTAACGTTAGCCAGCCAATTGACTTATTCATCATATTGGTCCTTACTTAAGTGGATCACAGCATGCAAAATCAATCTGCAGATGCTCTTGTGTTAAATGAGGTCAAACTTGTATGTGGATGTCAATTTTTGAGCCACAACAATGGCCAAAATTTGGCTTGAGCTATGCCAAAGGCCCAAATGTGGCCTGCAACAGACAATAGGGCTTGTTGATTTTGGCCAAGACGATTTCAAGAAAAACTGCGGCCCCTACCAAGTGAGGAGTCAGCTGTTAGTGATGCTTTAAAACAGTGAGTAAAACAGGTTTTTCAACAATTGTGAATCACCAAAACCATTAGAGGTCCTTTAGCGTGCAATCATAAATGTGCTCACAAAATATTTGGCTGATTGGTCCAGTAGTTTGCGAGGTTAACTGTGGATAGACAGATACATACACATGACAGAGCATGTGATTATAATGACGGACGAAAAGCAAATCCAAACAAACAACAGAAGAAGTCATTCACAGACCAAAGTGTTCTTCAGAGCACCAAATCAAGTTCAGTAATAAACCAGTTTTTCTCCAAGACGATTTCCAACTGTCTGACTCACTGTAAACTGGAGCACTTTTCATTTTTTATGATCACACTCACACAAATCATACCTCCCATTTTTATCAACCATTTGATATGGCTAACTTTTTTCAATAGCACAGGAAAGGAACTGAGTGTGATGGAATTTGGACCCAGTGACCACCTCCCCTGTGAGCACCACATCCCACTGGGAAACAGCAGCAACATGACAACATATGCACTGGAGGACAGGTTTAGGATGTAAACTGTGGCCTGCGTCGTCCCTAAGATGCTGGGCTAATACACACTATTCCAGACAAGATGCATCACCCTAATAAACCCCTGCTGTACTGTAACCACCACTCCATGTTAGAACTTGTGTGGCTGCAAATCAAAGAGAAATAAATCATTCATCTACTTAAACAAATTCATGAATTCTGAGTCCATCTGGGACTGACATAAACCAGTCACGTGGGTAGCTGAGTGGGTGGCCTGCACACTGGCACTCTGAGGCTTACCAGTACATCTACAGTCTGATGTGTCGGCTGGTGAGCAGCTCCACCATAGCAGATTAGGGCCTTGCTCAAGGGCACTTCGGTAGTGGTGATGAGGGTGCTAATTTTAATATTTATCCTGTCAGTTGGAGAATCGAAGAAGCAGCATTCCTCTACATCATCTGTCTTTGTAGGGGTAGCTTCTTTATGCCCGCCTTCCATTTTTACACCACTTTTCTCTTTGTATTAACCACTGACTGATGATCACATGAACTCATATACCTGGGAAGACAGACATATCTTGATTCTTCCTCCAGGTTGAGATGCTTTCAGACTGTGATTGCCGGTTAACTTAACAACTCTGCCATAGTGATGAAAGGACAATGTCTCCCTCTAGTGGATCGACTGTGTTCTTGACTTTAAAGCCAGAGTTCACATTTCTCACAGTAGGAAGTCAGTCCTCAAGAGCTAAGCATTAGTCCAACTTTTAGGACTAAAAGACTACTTAACTAGGGGCTTAAATATTGTCATAGATAGTTGTCATCTGTGGTAGGTATTAAGTAATGAGGTTATTTGCGTGCGTGTTAATTTGCCTCTAAATTGCATCAACATAAATGCGAATAGGACTCGAGTATTTGCTTTATACTGGAAAAAAATACTGTACCTGTTTATACTGAGTTTAATAAAATGCAGCTGGATTACAAGTATGTCCACTGAGCTAAACAACAACTCACAGCAGCCTTGATAACAGACTACTTTATAAACTGTATTTATAAACTAAGAAGTTATGGTGTCATGTCTTCTATACTGATTTTCTTTAGCTCCATATAAAGATCTAAAGAATTCCTCTCAAAGGCTCAAGCAGTCTACCATAGTTATATAACAAATTATTCACTTATTTGCAGGGGTGGAATTTTGATTCAAAGTTGTGTGTGGGGGAGTTTCAGTTTTCCAGATACACTACCCAGAGTAGAACAAAACACGCCTATGGTTTTTCATAATTTTGATATGTCCCCTTCATTAAATGGTTGGTCATAACTACAATATTTTATATCACAAAATACAGGAAAAGTGATGAAATTATAAGAATATCAACTCAGCCCATAGGAGAAAAAAAATATGTAAAGCGAGGAGTAAAATGCATGTTTCTTTCCATGTTAGTAACAAAATATGCAAAAAAAGATTTATTTATTTTTTAATCTCTTTTATACTGTTGGTGAAAATGAGCAGGAACATGTCTGTCTAGCTTACATGTGAGGTGTCTGAGGATCTATACTTTATCCACCTAGCAGCTACAACACACACACACACACACACACACACACACACACACATTCACTTTCTACATTTATTCTTTATTTATAACAGGCAAAAACAGCAAAAAAAAACAACAACAAAAAAAAAACAATGCCATATTGTGCACAATCTTTACACAAAATTGAAAAACGCTTTAAATAATTAAGTAATTAATACAATAATAAACCAACCAGTCTACCCCAAACCACAAAGTAAGCCTATGTTAAATTGTAACAATCAGGCCAGTGCGCTCTCCTCTCCTCTCCTCCTCCTCCCTTCCCCTTCTGTCTTTCTCGAATAGTCACGCGCTAATTCTTATTATCATCTTAGAAATAAGCTTTAAATATTACATATATTACATATTCTTGACGATTTCCAGAAGCAGACAGCGCCTCCTCTCCTCCTATGCGCCCTTTACGCACCGCAGCACCAAACTGCATGTCATTTTTGTCTAAATTTACGATCAGACACGCGACGTGGGAGAAATGAGGTATAACTCAAGCTGAATTTTGGTTTAAAAGGACGTGTGAAAGTGGGGAAGCAATTCGGCGTTTGTCCCTGCTCACATCGGACAGCTGATGAACCTGAATCTGGCAGAGTTGAAGGGAGACGGTGTGGTTTTACGCCAGAGTACATTACTTCCTAAGATTAATGGTAGGTTATTGCCTATATGAGGCTGTATTGAGATGTTAAATAGTGGTTTAAATTCACAACAGTGATGCTGAGGGCAAACATTAACGTTACCTGGCTGTGACGGCACATGAGGGACGGCGCTTGATTTGCGTGCGGCTGCCAGATGGAAAGCTGTGGAGGGAGGGGCGGGGCTCACTCAGATGGAGTCAGGTAGGATACAGTACACTTGTGAGTATTGATGCCATGGGCCAAACTTTAACACTAAAATATGAAATTATTGAACGAAATATTAAGGAAACATGTTTGCTAAAGGGCACCACCTGGTGTCCATCTGTGCACATGTCTGTTCCATCCAGAGTCCAGAGCCAGATGAGATGTATGTGAGGACACGTGTCAGGGATCCGTGGGCAAAATGCTTGTTCCCCGGGATTATTCACTGTGTTAGCGCACGTGACTGAATGGACATGACACCGATGTACAATTACATGTTTATTGCGCAAAGACAACAATCAGTAATGACATGCTAGAATGTTGTAAATAAAGTCCAGGCTGAAGTCTGCTGACGTCACTAAGAGGCAGCTGGAAATGTCAGACCATTAAAAAAAAAAAATACCACGAGATAAATCAAAAGGGCATTCAAGATGTTTCACGGTTCCTTCAGACCTACAGCTGACAAATAAACTGGCCTTTTAACCAAACGAGGAGAAGAAACCTTTGGGAACAGCTGTCTGTCAACGCCGGAAGTTGGACCAAACTGTGCTCTCAGCAGCCAATCAGCGACAGGTATGTCTGTCCATTACAAGCAGTGCTGGCTGTCATTTGGTTAAATACTAGCCTTTCCACAAAGGGTTTGGCCCTTACAGCTTTCATGCTATTCAACAATGCAGAGGCCAGTTTACACTGTTAAAAGGAGAAACCTTTATTTTTCTTTTTTGAAAGACCATTAAAATAAATACTATACAGAATCCAATGTAGAAAACTTGATACTGTTTCTGTCTCAAAAAGGTTAACAATTGCGTAAATTCATTTTTAAAAAATAGCACTGACTACACACCTCAAAACATGACGGTTCTCCTACACACCAAACCCCATGATGACAGGCATTTTAATATGAGTGCGCTTAGAAAGAGTAAAGAGAGGAGGGGTCGGGGATCTCTATATACTTCATCTGTAGTTTGGTCCTTTAATATCAGACGGGCCCCCCCCTTCCCCCAAACATGTTGGCGAGGTAGGTTACAAACACACCGCCACTTTATCAAAAATCCAATAATTTTTGTTTAAAAATAAAATCTAAATGAACAGTAATGTCAAAGAGTTAGAGGTGAAAATCCAACCAGGTCGTCAGGGTCGAGAGGCAAAGTCTCCACAGCACTCACCGTCGTTTTGCCTCCAAACGTCTGTGGCCACCGGTCGGTCTTCAACTGAATGCTACTGCACAAGGGACTGTACAAGTCAAGCTGTATGTACAATAGCAATTTAAAAATATATATATATGAAACAGCAGTAAAAGGATCAAAAGGGTAAACAACTCATTCATGATGGATTTTACTATATAGGTCTTTTTATTGAATATGCCCTGTGTACTCTAGCCCCAAAACCTCTTCTGAACATGATAATGGATGTGAGTTAAAAGGCTGTTTCCAGTACACTGAAGGTTGTTTCAATACTGATCTGGTCAAATGCAGCACGTCCCGTTTCATTTACATCATTGTTGGGTCCAAACTGGACTGCAGTCTAAACCGTTGAGTCACCGAGCAGTGCGGCAACCGGGTGACGCCGTGCAGGTGCAAACCACAGCCGCGTTTCACAAAAGCGTTGCTGATCTTCCTGTTAGCATCATGCGTGTTTATCAACGGAGCCGCGTTAATTTAATGTTAAGCTTTTGCCAACAGTCAGAGCTAGAGTCCTTTTAAAACAACTTTGTTGTTTGCGTGCTTTTGGAAACGCGGTTATGTTTTGCACTTGTGGGACCGAGGTACAAACTCTTGTTTGATGTTAAAAGTCCTCAGTTTGTAAACCATCAGCGGGATTAGCTGTAGGTAGAATTTAGGTGCCAATATGGGGTAGCGGACTATGGCAAGCAGTTGAAGCAGGTCAGTAATTCATCCTTCCAAAAAAAACGGCCAGAAAACTATTTCAAAGGGTTAGGAAGGAATAATGGCCGTGCTCTTCCTTCCCTTAGAATGTAGAGGGTAAAGTCATGGTGGAATTTAGCAAAAGGAAGTTCTTAGAATTCAGATCGCATAAGAAACAAAGTTTTGACTGCTAAAATAAGTGGGGAGGAGGGGGTGGAGATGGGCGCGTGGGTTCTTCTAGATCAGATCGGCCACATTCATGGGCATCTCCTCAACGGTGGTGTTGTAGAATGTCTCAATGTCCCTCAGGGTTCGCTTGTCATCGTCGGTAATCATGTTGATGGCTACTCCCTTCCTGCCGAAACGACCACCTCGACCAATCCTGACCAAAAATAAAATAAAATCAGTTTCACTGAGCGAAGAGCATTTGGATGACTTGTGTTCACATCATTCAGGATGAAAGATGGGAAACAATTACAAGGTCTACCAATTTTAGTTTCACAACCCTATGCTTGTCATTGTCTTCTTACCTGTGGATGTAGTTTTCTCTATTGGTTGGCAGGTCATAATTGATGACTAGGGACACCTGCTGGACATCAATACCTCTGGCCTGAGGAGGAACACATTTACCATTAGTTGCATAGCAGTCATTTGTATGCATGAAGAACAAAAAGAGTGAACATGACTGAGTTCACAAGCTAATCAGTGCACTGCACGTGGGACCGCAAAACACAAAACTAGCTCAAACATGGGCGTTTGTGGCGTTTCTCTTGGGCTTCCAGACTGAGTGCTGCAGGTATGAGCGATGAAATGAGTTTGCATTTTAGCACTCGACGCAAAGTCAATGGGTTTTCGATGCCTTAACTAAGGTTTGTGGTTAACATACTTAAGAGCTTCAAAATTCACGAGTACAGAGGCCGTAGAACAAAATGTTAAAAATGGCTGTGGCTGACACGCGTCTAAATACGACTACAGAGGTTGTTCCCAAATGGCCTCATTGCGGTGGCGACATCAGTCATGTGACCGAAGTGCTGCTAATTTATGAAGATTATCTCTGAGGTTGTGTTTATTACAGAACTTGGTAAAGCGTAAATAAACGACATCCCTCCAGTACTCTGTAAATGTGTTTGTAAAAGTGTATGCAGTCAAAAGTAAGTCCCTCCAAATGTTACAAAATTTAAACAGTGAAGGACAGCACTTAGTGTAATCCGCCAATAAGTTGTGAGTCAAGGACTTAAACCCAGCTACAGTGGAGGGCAGATAGCTTTCTGTACCAAGGAACATTCAGTCCTTCACCAACACTGCAGATGGGAGGAGAGGGAACCTTGGACTGCACAGAGTAATCTCATCTTAAAAGCAAACACGTCAGCTGTTAGACAGTGGGTGTAAAAGGCTGTTAGTGCACGTACCAGCAGGTCAGTGGTGATGAGGACTCGACTGGAGCCAGAGCGGAACTCCCTCATGATCAAGTCTCTCTCTTTCTGGTCCATGTCACCGTGCTGAAACACAAGGATGGGAGGTACATGTGAGACAAAGGCTGAATCCAAATGGCCACCCTGTGGACTTGCTGACTGAGCCATTACAGTTATTTTTACTGCAACATGTTTGCTGTCATCACATAGTTTGTGAGGGCAGAGACTGCAAATCACTAATAGACACAAACCAGTGAGCAAAAATTTATTGCCGTATCAAGTTGATTTGGAATTTCTTTCAGTGGCCTCAACAACAAAACATAATTACATGGTGTGGTGCTCACAGCAAGGAGTGTCGAACAGAACAGTCCAACTATATGGCTCATGCCCTTAAATTTACAAGTTCAAGTGCCATAGCTTTAACCCCTGGCTAACAGCTTCTGCTGAACTTGGTGTCTTGTTTTCACAGGTCGAATTATAAATACAGTGGAGGTCTTTAGATATCCACAAATTAAAAATATCTAAATGCATTACTTCTCACAGAATACTCTAAATCCCACACAAGTGTTAAACACCAAGTATACAGAGGCAGAGTGTTCCAAGACATGAATATTGATTATTTATGACTTCAAAAACGGAATGAAGGATCAAACACAAGGTTTGACATCATTCAAAATGTTGCGAATCAAAGAATTTTGTTTCTAGTTCGTGCAGTTCAGACATGGTCATAAAAAAAAGGTTCTTTAAATGCAGTCTCTTACCAGGGCAGACACGGTGAAATCTCTGGCGTGCATCTTCTCAGTCAGCCAATCCACTTTCCTCCTCGTGTTGATGAAGATGACCGCTTGTGTGATGGTCAGTGTCTCGTACAGGTCACACAGCGTGTCCAGCTTCCACTCCTGAGGATCACCACCAGGTCAGACACACAGCAGGCTCAACCAAGTTCACCTCCTCTTTACACCACATGTCCTCCTATCATCTGCATAGTTTGCAGACTAAATGCAATAATGGAAAATGTTTGCTCACCTCTTTCTCCACATTGATGTAGAACTGGCGGATACCCTCGAGGGTCAGCTCCTCTTTCTTCACCAGGATTCTGACAGGCTCACGCATGAACTTCTTTGTGACCTCCAACACGTCAGCTGGCATGGTGGCCGACAGTAGGACAACCTGGAAGGGAGGATAAGAAAGGGCTGTTTAACACGTGTTCACACTCAAATGAACATGTACCAGGTTGGCCACTGGCCTTTCAACAAATTAAATTCACCGATGGCAGTGGTTAAGCAGTGCTCGAGACTATCAGCGTCCCATTGTCATGGGGACAACAGAAAACATGTTTGGAGGAACAGAGATCTTCCCTGTGATGCATTAAGGACGCAGTAAACTCACTAGACAAATCGGGGGACACTTTTTCCCCCTTGAAAATGCTACACTGAGAACAAAATAATCTGTTAAAAATCGACAGGAGAGCAAATTAGCTGGTGGCCTGAACTAGCAGCTAACGGAGGTTGCTTTGAGTTAATGATGCATTCAAGCTCTGTTCAGTAGAAGTGAGTATTGGGCCAAGGTAAATTAAAACATTATCGCGATGTGTTTTTAAATGTAATCTTGTAAAATAAAGTTTTTGGCAAGAACCTTGAATAAATACAGCTGTGTGAAGGAGAAATTTTGTTGGGCGTTTTCACAGCAATATAACATAGATATTAGAGGGAATTTTGAGCCATTATATACAGTAAAAAGCCTTAAATATCAATACCAAACCAATACATTTGAGAACAAGACTGAATGTAATCTGCCAATTAGTTGTGAGTCAAGGACTTAAACCCAGCTACAGTGGAGGGCAGATAGCTTTCTGTACCAAGGAACATTCAGTCCTTCACCAACACTGCAGCTGGGAGGAGAGGGAACCTTGGATTGAACAGAGTACCCATATTACAGCTGGGCAATAAGGAGAAAATCAAGTTTTATTATATTTTAACCAAATATCATCTTATGAGCAAACAATAGTTACAGAGTCTAGGTTTTACCATAGACAGTTTGGATGGCTGGCTAAGAAGAAAACAAACTAAGGAGAGGAGACTGGCACATAGTTCTTACCTGTGTGCTGCTTGCCAGTTTCTGGAAGATCTCATAGATCTGGTCCTTGAACCCTCGACTCAGCATCTCGTCAGCCTCGTCCAGCACAAACATTTTGATGTACTTAGAAGCTGCAAGGAAATGCAGACCATGAAATGAATGAACCAGAACACCAACATGTTCAATGTTCTCATATGCTTGGTGATGAGTGCTGTATTCAGAAGTGATGTATGATCACGTCTCTGGAATCCTACTGTGCCGAGGACTCAGGCCGGCAAAACGCCAACCCGAGCAACAACACAACAGAGAGTTACAGAGTCAGCTGACACGCATGGGTTTCATCATTATACAGCGGGTCTCCTGATTCTGCACTAAACTGGTTTGATTTATCACTTGCGAGTAAAAAACTGATCTTCCATTGTCAGCATTTATAGAGCATTTATCAATAACATGGGTCAATGTCCTGGTTATCAATTTGGGGAACCATTTCAATTAAGTCAGCCTACTGACAGCTTGACACATGATCACTTCCCATGATGACTTACAGAGGTTTTTGCGGGTTAACATGTCGAAGACGCGACCAGGGGTTCCCACCACAATGTGAGGGGCTTCAGCCTGCAGCTTCTGGACTTCATTGCGGATGTTGGTCCCTCCAATACAGGCGTAGCAACTGGCTCCCATGTAGTCACCCAGGGCCAGCACCACCTTCTGGATCTAGAGGAGGGGGAAAAGGGGGAATACTGTGGGTCAATTCATGTTTAGGCCATAAAAACCCTTAATAGTCAAACACAGTAGAAACAGTTTACCACCAATCATCTTCAATATGCTATGGATTCTAGTAAACCTGTTTTGAAACACAGCCAAAGACAAATCTTTCACCACAGTGAGGCCCACCAACATGTTTTAAGTTCTCATATACTTAGTGTGCATGCAAGAATACAAGTGATGGTGATTATTCAAAGGTGATGAGGCGCTGTATTCAGAAGTGATGTATGATCACGTCTCTGGAATCCTGCTGTGCCGAGGACTCAGGCCAGCAAAACGCCAACACAAGCAACACCACAACAGAGAGTTACAGAGTCAGCTGACACGCATGGGTTTCATCATTATACAGCAGGTCTCTTCTGATTCTGCACTAAACTACAAGACTGGTTTGATTTGTCAATTTTGGAGTGGGGGAAAAAAAAAACACAGATCACAAATTACAAATTAATCTTCCACTGTCAACATTTATAGAGTATTAATTAATAACATGAGTCAATCTCAAGGGATAAAAGGGGCAAACCTTTACCTGAACCTACAAACTGATTAACCACGCTTGTGGTCAGTTTATACATTACTATGGGATTTCTCTTTCTGTAGCACAACGGCTAAAGCTTTGTTCAGCTATGAGCATTGCACAAAGGCGTTTATGCTTAATGCGTTTTCGTCACACATGCACTGAAATGCCAAGCAACGTACAAACAAAATACTCTACGGATAAGCAAATACTCAAAGGGTTAGCGGGAAAGTAGGCTGCCTGGCAGCGGCAGTAAACACTGATGAACCGCCAATGGCCGGGTTCCACCGGCTGCATACGTAAGCGTCACGCCAGCGTAGCTTCGCGGCGTATTCATTTGGGCTCCACTGACTGCGTACTGAAGCGATACGTAGAGAAGCCAGCGGGGTTGTTTACTGTTTGCTGAGCCATTAAATGTTAAAGCATTTTCCACCTAAGTTATTACATATATTTGAGTTATCTACAAGTTTACTGTACTGTTTGTCATCTACTCGCTTTCAAATGTCCAGCCACAGACATTTACACAATGTCATGGATAAACATGGGTAAATGCATGAAAAAAAAAAAACCCCATCACATATCACCTCTGATAATGGTTTATTCATTTAAAGGCGCTATATGTAAGAATGTGGCCAAAACGGTTACTGCACTCAAATTCAAAATACTGCCGCGAGTCTTGTCCGCCCCCCCTCCCCTACAGATTTGAGGTTGCTGGACAGCGGCATGCTGGAGACTGATTTGTTTGCTCACGGGTGGCTGCTGTGGCAGGGCTGCGTCGCCGCGTCCTTGATCTTCGGTTTTCCATTGGACCGTTCGAGCAAGTCTAGCTTCTTTGCTGCTAACGCTGCTGCCGGGATACAGCTGAGGAGAAGCCGGCTGCTCATGCTGGGACACTGCTCATGCTGGGACACTGCTAATGCTGCTTGCCGTGCTGCTGTAGCCCAGTCGTAACTGTAACTGATGCTGAGACTCTACTGACTGCGTGACTGGTAGACAGCGGTGGGTGGCGCAACAGGCCAAAACACAAATTCAAAACAAACATCATTTGCGGACCGTAAAATATTTTTTTAAATGCAAATATTCTGGCCGTACTATTGTTGTCGGTGAGATCAGTATGTTATATGAACATTATTCCTTAGTCTCTGTGACATTAGGATGATTTTACAACTATTTGCTTTAGATTTCTTACATATAGCTCCTTTAAAAAACACATTGTGCTCATTTAGCACACCATTTCATGTAGTTTTTAATCTGCTGGAGGGTCACATAGGGGAGCGTAGCGCGACAAAAATAGAAGAGCCACCTAAAATAGAGGGTTGTCGCGCCGCTCCCCTTGCCGGTGGAGCCGCTGTAATTGATTAATAGGGGGGCGAGCTGCTACGGGACTCGCGCTGCAGATGTGTCGCGCCGCTGACGTGCCCGGTGGACCCTGGCCGCAAGTGTTGCATTTGGTTACTGCAATTATTGTCGCTCGTCTCCACATCAAAGTTATTTTATACTGATTTCATAAAAGCGGTCAGTCCTCCTAACACAGCATAGTACAAGTACTGACTGCTTAAAATTATTATATCAATAGGCCTAAATAAAACATAGGACACTGGCCTTCCTCACGCTATTAGATAATGACTGACTCACGTATTCACTAGCTCAGCAAACCATTACAGTAAATTAGTCCTGCTTATTTGACTAGTACTCACTAAAGCAGCGGTTAGACCTCATGAGGAGGAGGAGGAGGAGTCTGGAGCCTATGCACAAAACTGCCAAGGCTGATGCGCCTCTCCACAGGCACACTGGATGCTGTCGCTATGTGCACATTTGATTTTTTTGTCTGCCCATTAAGACAATAACTGAACAATAACACAACATTGTAATTGTTGGATTAGTAACTAATATGATTACTGAAGACATACGTTTTGTGACCCCCCCCCCCCCCCCCCCCCCCCAAAAAAAAAAAAAAAACACTGATTCTTTCCTGATTTTAAGGCCTTTGGCTATCCCTGTGGTCTCTCAAACAAGAGCTGCAGAGATTTTTGTATAGGCAGACCTGCTCAGCTGGCATCCCCTCATAGACACCCATGCCAAACTAAAAACACGGCAGCGCCTAGCTACAAAAATTCACAAGTTGCATAGCCAGAGGCTGTGATAACTTTCAGAGCTTTGGGGCTCAACGGAAAAGAAGCTACATCATGCAATGGGCATACGAACCTTACGCCTAACACCACTGAAAGGATACACCTAGTTTAACAGGGGCTGGGACTGGTCTAGCTGTAGGAACTTGCTGGGGTCACACTAATATTCCAATAATGAGTCTTATTGTGGTTTTGACTGTATTTCAGATATGGCCATGTTTATGTCACTGTTAGTCATCCTGTATACATGATCATACAGTGTTGTGAGCCAGTTAACCACGCTGCAAATAGTACATGCAAAAGACGTCATTAATTATTATACAACAGCCAGCATCAGCAGCTCAGTGCTGTTATAGGTTGAACTCCATTTCCAGTTGCACTATGCTTAAGAATTAGATCAAATAGATGAAAAATGCAACTGCCACGAGGCAAATGTATTATGTAGTCAAACAGGAGCACATAAGGACTGGAGCATGTGCAGATACTTGATTTAAGTCTTAAACTCTACATCTTAAGTTAGGCATCAATACATCTGAAATGTGCTGCAGTTCAGACTTCTCTTCAGTCCAGTCTTGAGGAACTATAGGGGAGGAAGTTGAACTGAAACTGTGTCTGTCAGGTTGTAACACTGGTTTAGCCTGAGGTGACACAAAAGCTCTAACTCTAGAACCCGAGTCGGAGAGTCAGAGGGCAAACATTTCTATGGCAATTCAGGTTAGACTTCATTAGAAAGAACTTTCCAGAAAGCAATCCTGATTTACTGAGCCTGGCTGAACTGTAGTCGTGTTCTTTGAAACACTGCTGTTACGCAACAGGCTGTACTGAAACACATGAGACCGTTTAAGCAGGGAGAAAAGTTGGCCTCTTACCTGCCAAAAGAAACTGAATTACACCATCCTTGTAACTATGATCTAATGTGTCCAAATATTTCAATAATCACATACACAGTCTAAATCTAGTGAAGTGTAGTAGTAAGGAGCACCTGTGGAAACTGTTACATATGTTAACATTCAACATTCAGAGGTATTCACACAGGGTGACATGAAATTCACCCAGCTTCTAAATTGTTTCAGTTTCCTAAAGCCATGTTAAGCTGATAAACTGCAATACTTGATAAAAATTATCAAAGAATGGTTGTTTTGTATTAAAAATGTGTCACACGGCCCCCACAGCACAATTTCAGTGCAGTTTTCTCACACTGTTTATCTGACTTTGAGCATACCTGCTGAGCCAGCTCCCTGGTGGGAGCCAGGACCAGAGCCTGAGTGCCTTTCAGCTCCACATCAATCTGCTGGAGGATGGAAATGGCAAAGGTGGCAGTCTTCCCAGTGCCAGACTGGGCCTGAGCGATCACATCGTAACCTAAAAATGAAAAGAGATAAACAGAAGACATCAACCACTGTAGTGCAGCCAGAGAGCACGAGCAACAAGAAAACAACAGTAATTGTCAATGTCCTGTAAAAGCCAGGATGGGTACGGGGCTAATTGCACAGAGAAGAGATCTGTTGCCCTGTGGCCAAGATGGCAGTCTAAAAATATCCTATTGGCCAGAATAAAGGACACTTTCTGGAAGCGTTTGAAAAGCAGAGTGTACTATATTTCAAGGACAGTAAACTGTGTGATCACAACACCAGGTATTTTCTTTGAATGGAAATACAGCGTGTCACACTTTGTGTAGTTTGTCACATTAGCCCATTATGCAAGGCAGGAATTTCACGCTACCTCCTCTCCATTCCATTTAACCAGTACAATCGCTGAATGGGGAGAACAAGTTACCTCACCTTTAAGCTGAGAAAGTGACAGCGCTTAAACAATGTCTGTATGAAACAGTCAGTTTGCGGAACAGAAGTAAGGACGGGATGGGTGGGACATTTTGACGACATGTTAAGCGTGTGACCCACCACTGGGAGATTTAAGTAGCTGACAGCAGTTAGCAGCTAACTCAAAAAAAAAAAAAAAAAAAAAGAATAGCGGCTGAAATGTCCGCAGCTGCCACGTGTAAATAATTGTTATTGCCGTGTTTATACAATTGTTATCATTTAGAAAGCACTACAGACACGTGTCACACTAGAGGCCAACACTGTTGTGTTACATCACATCAGTCCACCTCTTTTGCTTCCGCAATACCACCATGCTATCTGAACACCACAAACTCGAGGGCATGTTTCTATGCTGGAGAGTTTCTTCAAGTCTATTTAAAGATTTGTTTGTTTTATATTAGACAGCCTGATTTAACACACAGGAGTTACTGACAGTTTGTCACAACACGCCCAAAAACACTTTGGTTTAACTCATCGATGGAAGACAGTGAGCTAAAAGAACACATTTCAAATCAAGTAAATCACTATAACTTTCATTTAAACTGCAACTAATGTGTTGAAATTACTTAGCTGACATGGATTATGCATTTGGAATCAATACAATTTTAAAATGATGGCAGGTAAGCAAGCTCAGTGTCCAGTTGGGTTGAATCTCTAGTGTTAGATGTGATATTAAAATCTGGATGTTGATTTTATTTTTGTATTAGTGATTAATCTTAATGCAATTCAAGCTTTGATTTTAGTACATTTACTCTATGTATGTTCACTGTATGGGTGAATCTTATTTTGTCAGTAAATTCACTCCTTAGCTGTGTCGCTACCACAGCCAACACAAGATAACAGCACAGCAGGCTTAAAAACTGGAAACAGAGGTTGGTGGAAACAGAGGATAGCATAACACTTGTTTTGCTTGGCAGATCCAACTATCTGCTCTGGTGTTGAAACTTAGCAAAAGTCAGCTTAACTACTTTCGAACCAGATGCTGGTACAAACTCCTATCGCTACCCAGTGTAAGTGAGTCTTCACCAATACTACTTCAGGTACAGCCCTTATATTGTGACGCTTTTGAGCCTGCCATAGATATGTGATTTGGTCACTCTAGCAGCATGCAGCAATAAGTGCAGCTGTACTCATGTAATTGTTAGGTGGGCCATTTCTGAGTGTGAATAACACACAATATCTCTCATAACTGTAAATAAGGTGTATTGAAGAAATAAATGGTGACTTCTATAAAGATAAGCACTACTTACCCTTGATACAAGGCATAATGGCCCTCTGCTGGATAGCAGAAGGCTTCTCGAAACCATAGGCATAAATTCCCCTGAGCAGAGCTTCGCGCAGGTTCATCTCATCAAAACTGTCCGTGATCTGACTCCAGTTGCTCTGGAAGGGGTTAAGATAATTGCGGAAACACACAGATACCATATTAAAAAAGATATGATCTCAAATCTGCTTGTTTGTGTTATTCTAAGTGCCACAATTGTAGGGGACTCACCTCGATGACCCCATCTGGCTCCATGCCCTCTGGGCCATTGTCTCTGTGAATAGGAGGACAATTGAGTGTTTACAAGCTTTCATCTTTCACACCACATCAGAACATAATGTTTTAGGCCAACACACTGTAGATAGTCCATTATTGATATGAAAATGCCCTTAGCAGAAGGCCAAACATGACTGTTGCCATCATGTTATAATGAACGTGGATGGATATAAATAAATGTTCCTAACGTTTAAATACAACACTACGTCTCATTTCTTAGCTGGCACTTAATATAATCTTCTGAGTATATTTTTAGTTTGACAAACGCCTACCTAAGTAGATAGTATTCCCCATGTCACAAACTCACTCCTAAACAGGCAAAACACCATTTTCTGGGCTGCTAAACTGACATTTAGCATCAGTTTGCCGTTTACTCCTTGTGCTTGTAAGCAAACGCCTTATCACGGGTCCGCCATTTCTACTGCATACATTTCAAGATGGTCGTTTCTCCACTCAGGGCTGAAAAGTCGGAAGCTCGTCGATGGAAATAACGGCCTAGCCACCTCAAATACTCTCTAGCTAATTTACAAACAACTTCTCTCTGACTAGACAAGACGTAAATGTTAATGACGGTTTAAGACGTGGTTGTAATCCGAAAAGTGCGACAGTAAGAATAAAGAAAAGCCTCGGCTGGCTGTAGCCCCCGGCCCGCCATTGCCGCTGCCAACAGGCCCTGCGCGTCTACATGGAACGGTAGCATTTTAACTAGCTTGTCACGTCAGCGAAAGCCATATATGAAGCGTATACCAACACAAACTGCGTATATGCTTCACGGAAGTCACATATACCATCACCTACAGCAATGTCGAGGAAAACGCTGCCGACGGCATTTAGCGGCCTAAGCTACCGGCATTGTCCTAGCACTCCCCGACCAGTACGACGACCATGTGCGCCCCTCGTAGAAAAAGAACAAATATCTTTACATCTGAGGCGCCAGCTTCGACAGCCGACCTGTACTCTAACACAAGCTGAGAAATCCACCGCTCCGCTACACCGATACGTTTTCATATCGAGCTATTAACGACAGAAGCATCTAGAACAGAAATCGGAAAGGCCTAGACCAGGCGCATTCACGTGCTACCCAAGGCGCCGGCTGCCATTTAATTTGCTTCGGTTACGTTCAAGACAAACAGCGATCGCTATCATTCCCGCCGCCAAACAGACTCACAATATACTGAGTAAAATATACACATTTGACATAAAATGCCAACATCTGACATACGGTCGTCTTTTTTACTAGATAAAACGTAAAGACCTGTGACGTTTGTCTGAGCCACCAGGCCTTTCCGTTAGTCGAGCACTGAAAGCACTAGATGCTCCGTTCAACGTCTAACGTTACATCCCCAACAGTCATCCATAACTAACATTAACATACCGACGTAAACCGTTAAATCACATTCTGACACACAAAATGCCCCAAAAAACATAAAAACATTTCCCTACCTATTATCATATTCAGCCGACATTATTCCAAAGAAAGAAACTGCGGCAGAGATGTCTTATATACGTTGACAACACACAAAGAGGGATTTCATTGCAACAGCTCGCCGTCATTTAGCTGAAATCCCGCCCACAGAGGGTTGTGATTGGTCAATCTGTGCGTCACATATAAATAGGCGGGCCGCAGCGTCTAAAGTGGCGCGCGATTGTTTTACCTTTACCGTGCTAGAGGGTCGGGGTTTTACATTTTACAGGCAGACTGCGTCAGAGGGAACCAAGCTCCGCTCACCCGCGCTGCGCTGGTGTCTATTTTTAACCTCCCTCATTTCTGGATCAGTCATTGGTCAACGCGGACAAAAGGCCGTACCCCAGATAGGTTTTTTTTGTTTTCTCCTGAGCCACATTTCCGTGTAAATTAGTGACATATCTCGTATCCAGGGGTGTAACAAGAACATTGTGAAACTGATTGAATGAGTCATACTGTCGTCATCTGTACTATATTACAACGCGACTCATAAGCTTGGAATATGAATTTTAAGTATTTCATAAAACCAAAACACTGTTATTCCAAATTGGAATAATAATAAATGAAGTGCATATTAATTGTGATCCTGGCCTGAGCTGGGATTTCAGGAATATTGAGGTCAAACTGTTCATAGAATGAACTTTGCCAGAATAAAATAGTCTAAAAATGGAAAGAATATTGAGTTCAAAGAATAAGTCAGCAACCCACAAATCTAATTAAAAAAAACTATAATTTAAAGGTCTACATACCAACTTTGTAATTTGTTGTTGTCACCTGTCTGTGTACATACTGTATAGTCCTGGTCAGTGGTGTAGTGGTAGTTGAGAAGGTGAGTGGACCAATAGTTAGATGGGTATGTAACTAAGGAGGAAGTGGGTATTCTCTCCTATATATTCCAGTGGCTTTTTGGTGGGTATACTGTAAACAGCCCTAAAATGAGGTGGGTATACCCAGTATAAACTCCACTACACCACTGGTCCTGGTATATTACAGTACTGAAGAGTCTATTCGTGACGTCAAAAAGTAAAATAGGCTATTACAGCTTTTTTTTCTATTAATGTCTATTAATTCTGAATGAATGTTATTCAAAAATGGTGGCAATATATTTTTGCTAAAGCAGATGTCATCACTCCCTTTTTCCTTGTGTTTCTTTTTTCTCTCATACTGTCAAGCTGTCAAAATAAATGCAAGGTGCCATTTAAAAATAAGTTAGGCTATGTCTAAGGCAGTGGTGGTATTCGGTTTCTTTACTTAAGCAAAAGTAGAAAAACCGCACTGTAAAAGTACCCCATTACAAATAGATCCTTCATTTAAAAAGTCATGTAAGTAAAAGCATACAAGTATTATTATCAAAATGTACTTTAAAGGGACAGTTAACCCCAAAATCAAAAGTACATATTTTTCCTCTTACCTGTCGTGCTATTTATCAACCTTGATTGTTTTGGTGTGAGTTGCTGAGTGTTGGAGATATCAGCTGTAGAGATGTCTGATTTTTTCCAATATAATAGAACTAGATGGCACTCAACTTGTGGTGCTCAAAGCGCCATGAAAGCACATTTGAAAAACTCAACATCAATGTATTTTTCCAGAAATCATGACCTGGTTACTCGAGATAATCCACAGATTTTGTTGTGAGCAGTTTCATGCAGAACAATTTTTTTTTTTCATCTGTACTATACCCACCAACTGCATCACCATGCCAAAAGGAACAGTCAGCCAACGCTGTCACAAGCACAAGCTTCTTGTCCGTTAGTAGATGCACTCTTCCTTCTGCATGGTGATTTGGTTGGTGGACATAATTCAGTAGAAAGAAAATTGTTCCTACATGAAACTGCTCACAACAAACTCTGTGGATTATCTTGAGTAACTGGGTCAAATGTTGTTTTTGGTGCTTTGAGCAACACAAGCCGAGTGTAATCTAGTTCCATTACATTGGAGAGAAGACAGATATTTCTACAGCCGATATCTCCATATCTCCAACACTCTGCAACTCACACCAAAAAAATCTAGACTGATAAATATCACTACAGGTAAAAAAAAAAAATGTTTTTGATTTTGGGGCGAACTGTTCCTTTAAGTATCAAATTTATTCCATGCTGAAGAAACTGTCAGACTTGTGCCATTCTGTATTTTTAGATGCATTATTGTGTCATGTAGCATTTTGCTGTTGTACTTGGCTGAGGTGGAAATGATTTCAATATATTTATATATTTTTTGGGGGTACTTTAACTGTAGCAATGCATCCCAATTATAAGAATTCTTCATTTGCAAGGTAAAACTGTGGCTGTCAGGTAAATGTTTTGAGGTAAGGACAATATTTCCTTGACAATGTAGTGGGGTAGATGTGTCAAGTGGCATTAAAATGGTAATTCTAAAATAAAGTATAAGAACCACCTCGATTACAGTGCAGTGCTTCGTTACATCCCTGGACACAGAATATCATCATATCCAGCTGATAGCCATTCGGAAACATTAATTAAATTCACAATTGCTCATTTGCCGCATATTTTTATTTTTAGCAACCATAATGCATTGTAGAAGATATATAAAACTGTCAACTCTGTTGCATCAACTCCTGTTTGAAAAAAAGAAAAAAATAAACACACAGCTATCAACAAATTTGTCTTTCATTATAAAAAGAAGAGGAGGAGGGTGCTGTAACTCCATAGTGAACATAACTGGATCTGTTGTGTAGCTGTCGTGGTCCTCACCAAAAAAAAAAATGGCTCTCGAACTTTCAAGGAAATACTAACCAGAGGATCTCTTTTGTACTTACTCTGAAAATAACACATATTAGTAGTCCTCCTGTTAACACCGCTTGTTTAAAGCAATAAGCATATCAACACATTTACTGACAAGATAAAACACAGAAAAGATAAATGCAATGTAAAGATACCCCTTCTTTGGGCCAATATGTCATTCTGGTTTGTTTGGGCGGTGATCCACGGGTGCAGATCCAGTCTCCCACATGACGATGTCATATCTGGGGGAGGAGTGATGGAGGCAGAGGAAGTTTCCGGCACAGGGGTCAATATGTGGTGTGTTCCATGTATGTAAATTCTGATTTCCCATTTTAAAAAAATGCACTAGAATGGCTCTTCACACGCTCAAAGTGTGTTTTCTGTTCTCAATATGGCAGCATCAAATAGTAAGTTCCATTTTCACTTTGAATTCGTCTAAACATCTTGTAGGAAACTGTTAAAACAAATATTATACATTGGAAATGTAACGTCGCACTACAGTAGCAAACATTATGTGCTGACTAGATAGATAGAACCGTCAACAACACGCTGGCTGCAGCATGAGGAGGTGGACTTTATGTTGGGTGTTTTGCTGAGAGTACACACTGCATGGACTGGATGGATGGAAGGCATGTACATCCACTAGTACTATTCAACCACAAGCTTACACAGACTGGTTCAGATCATTCTGCCGTCCACACACGGTGCTACCTCTGCACTCACTGTTCAGGCATCTCAACGTGAAAGTAAGTAGTCAGGTTGGACTAACTGAGGTCCAACCCTTCATCTGGACTGTATGCTTTAGATATCTTCATCATCTTCTTCATGCTCCCATTCAGACTGTAAAACAAAAATGGACTACGGTAGGATGGAAGATTAGCACATTCCCCAAACGGAAGCTAGTCTTGGCCTCTGTCAACCACAAAGGAATAACCATGACATGGAAATCAAATTTTTCAAAGGGTGGAGAGAGGGAAGCAAAGAGAGACAAAAAGTGAAATGATGACATCACCTACAATAGAAGAAGGGGTTTCTCTGGATGTTGGCAGAGAAAAATAAAGTTTTTGAAAAGTTTCTCTTTTGCCAGTCAATCGTTTGCTCCCCTTGCCCTCTTCTCGTTGTATCATTGTCCCTCCATCTTGTTAGGGTTAAGGGTGGGAGCGGGTGGAGATGGCGGGCTGGGGTGGGGGTGGCGGGTCACAGGGTGAGCTTGCAGTGACACAGTTCTTTGTACATTTGCCTCCTCAGCCGGGGCATATCCTGTTGGCCAAAGTTGAATGGCTGCCCTAGTGCCAGACACTTGCAGTACTGCGGGATGGCAGAGGGGAAATGAGGAGGGGGAAAAAAAAAAAAAAAACAAGTTACTGGCCTGCAGGAATGACAGAGTCACAACAACATGTAACATGATTCAGTGTCGGTGACGAGTGACCAGCTCAGCTCTTCAACATGATTTTTAAAATGCATAATTATTCCTGCATTTACGTCTAGCTTCCACACTAACCTGGTGTTTTGGAACCCCTAAAACAGAGACCTTTGAAAACATTGCTGACCATGTTTTAGTTTGAAAACTCCATAGATGCGTTTTTGTCCGGGCAGGCGAAAGTGGAGACTTTAAAACGATGATGGAGACACCCACGCTCGCTTCCCGCCTGAGTCTTATCAGTGTCAAGCCATAACATTATAGCTAGGCCTGCATACCTTTTGTGATTTCATCCTTTTTTTATGGGTACTCCTGTCCCACTGTCATGGCTTCCTCCGGCGATAAATGATGCTCCCATTATCGATTTAATATGTCGCCATATTTGCTTGGCAACAACTCCCAATCTGTTTTCCACCACCCTGACTGCCTCATACTCGTGTGTTTAAATAACATTTCCGTCTCGTCATCAATCCAAGCAAAGAAATCTCTATTCTTACTTTTTCTCCCTCTCCATAGTATCTTATGTAACCAAGCAACCAGCCACAGAGTAGACAATCTGTTTCCTGTTTACATAACCATTAACATCAACATGCTAGGCGTATGTGAATGGTCATGTGACATATGTTTTCGGGCATGTTAGTATAGACGGACATTCCTTCTGAAATGGTACTAAAGCGCTTGTGTATGGAGATAAACTGGCAGTCCTTTAGGAATGGCCTACTTCCCCATACAGGCACATCAGGGTTGGCTGAGTTAGCGAAACACAACACATGAAGTATGGCCAGTGCTTAAAGTCTCAAAGCCACAGCCTCTATTTGTTTTTTAAGGCTCCCACAATGGACAAATTAATGTTTGTGTGGTTGGGAGGTATTAATTCACCTTTATGTGCACACGGACTGTGACATGACAAACTCACCTGTAGCACAAAAGCCCCACAGTCACTGTCGTTGTTCTGACGACCCACATTCTGCAACAAAAAAAACCCACCACACATTAGCATTAGCAACACAGCAGTACAGTAGCTGAAATGCATGGCAGAGCCGTAGTGATGTATGACTGGCTGCAGCAGCAACAACCCATTTCACCCACAGCGAGGGCTTTGTGAAATGATTAACCTGAGTCTGTGTCAAAGAAGAGAAACAAATAAACCATCTCACCATTTTGAAAAAGCCTTTCCATCCTGTCAAAAAGTCTTGTTGGTCTTTCTTGATGGCCTCCGCTTGCAGATACTTAAAAATGTGCTGGAAACAACAACAAAACATTTTATGAGAATGCTGCAGAGGTAATTCATACACAAAGTGACACAGAATAATGACACGAAAAATATTATAGTGTGCTTATTTGATTAGTCCACCTATATCCATAAACTAAACCCACTCCATCAGAACATTGGATCAGAGCAGTCTGAGTCTCAGGGCTTCAGCTGAGGGCTGTACCATGAAGTGAAACTGGAGAATTTGTGATCTATGTTGAATCGAAAGTCAGAGCTTTCTCCGTTATAAAGGTGACTCTCTTTTAACCTGGATCGATCACCATGGTAACTCATGCTGCAGACATTTACGTTCGGAGTTTTGGATTGAAATTGGCTAAAAAGCTAAAAAGAGGGAATGTGTTATAAAGGCAAAATTGTTGAGCCATGACGTTACATTAGTAATGCCACCAAAAAAGATGTGCAAGTACAACAGTGCTTACTGTCTGTATCACGTTGTGTTTTGTTTTGTTTTATTACATGGGAACCTACAGTAGCTCAGTGATGTGGAAAAGCTGAGCAAAAATATTGTTGTATTTTATTTACAAGGTTGCTATTGCTCTCTCTGAACTATTAAATATGTTTGCCATGTTCTCTGGTCCAATCATAGTTCACTATATTATGAATCAAGATGATGTTTATTTGTACATGAAATGTGGTATAATTCCTTTAAACCATACCTTAATGTTACCACTTTAGATTATGTTTTTATGTTTGGTTCTAATTTGCTCAAGTCCATCATTTTACACTATTGGTATATTACAGCTAACAGAAATCCGCTTGGAAAACTGATTCGTCAATTGGTATTTAGATACAAGGTACACGAAGACACAGATAATGACATGATTTTTTTCATATTTCTTCGAGGTGCAAATAAGTGGCACGTGATTGGTCCATTTTGTGCTCTGGAGAAGACCAATGATACATCAAACACCCTGTTTTATGGAAACATGCACAGGACCTGAGGTGTAAAGCTGGGGTTAACAAAGATAGCTGATAACCACCGTTGTGGAACCAGCCAACTCTGGCTGGGGTTTTAGTCTTACAGCCCTGTGGACTTATTTTTTGTTCATTTAGAATGACATGTCTCATTGATCTTTTCATGTACTGTTTTCTCTGTGGTGTTAAACCACTCTTGGCAGGTGTGTTTTATTTTCCAACACTGACAAACTACTTGTTAAAATTAGACTGATACACAGTTGTAATCAAAGATGGAACCTGATACTGACAGCTGTTTCCACATCTGATATAACATGCAAAGAAAAACCTAAGGGTCTCTAATGGCTTTTGTGGATGTTTTTCTTTTTTCCAAAATAATCTTCTAGTGTAAGAGCTTGCTGTTGCTGTCCGGTCCTACCTTTGGGCAGCGTCTGTTGAGAGTCCGCTGAGAGTCAAAGTAAGTGATGGCTCGACGAGGAATGTCAACACTGACCAGCGACCAGTGGACCTCCAGGTGGATGGGGATCAACAACAGATCCTTCTGAAAGATGTCAACCTGACAGAAGGAAAGCATGGTGAGAAGGGAGGGGAGGACAAAGCAGTAAAAGGAGATATAACAATCTACTAAGGAGCACTCCTCCTCCTTAAGTTCAATTCTTTCTTTAACGTGATAGATGGCAGACATATTTAAGCAGGGGACTTGTCCTCTGCTTTGTCAGGAGTGCCTATCCTCAAATATTTGATCCCTCAGTTTCATTGACTTAATAAAGCGTATCCACACTTTGGCACACTGAAGTTCAGGCAGTCCGCCATGTTCTATGTTGAGTAAGCACGTTTGTATACATCACACACACGCTCCTAGTGTCACAGAGAGGCTAAAGAGACCGAGCGAGATCATGATCGAAAGACTTGATAAGGGAGTTGCTGTTGAGCTTATGGAATCTGGATATTTTAGGTGATATCACCTTGTCCTACTATATCTAAAATATACACCTTGGGTACTGGGTTAAGGTTTGGTGACTGGATGGTTGATAACTAAATGTCACATGTTTGACATAGCAATCACCACAGTGACCATAGTATGCTTCTATGCATGGCTGGATATGGGAACCACTGCTTCCTTACACTGAAAGGAGCCTCTTGAGGTGGTTCGGGCATCTGTTTAAATTCCGTCATAGATGTGTATTCACATCCAGCTTTAAGGAGACCCTTGGACACCTTAAACCTGCTCAGGAATTATCCCATCTGACCCTGGAACACCTCAGGAATCCCCAAGAACACAATGGGGGACATCTAGGTTTCCTCTTTTATCCTGCCGCCACAGTGCCACCCAGATAAGTGGCAGAAAATGGATGAACTAATCATTATCTTAAGCAGTATAGAGGTCACAGGAGGATTATTAAATATCAGTTTTCCCAGACTCAGTCATTGTGTTAATGGCTGAATGCATCACAAAGCGAGATCCAGTCTGAGAACGCTTAAATACACGACAGATAGTGTTGATGGAAAGAGGCGCTTAGAGCAAGACACAAGCTATTACACATTATTTATGCCGAGGTGAGAATAAGCTAAAAACTTTCAACTGATAACAGACTGATTTAACTGCTTAGCAAATAGGAGGGTCTTGGTTAATAGGGAAGGAAAACTCTTCTGACTTTGTGCTCCCACTTTGTGATCTTCAATTACATGATTGCTATATATTTACGTAAAAAAGCACAATTGTCATGCAAAACTTTAACTTGAAGAAAATCCTCCCCAACAACTTAATAGAAAAACAGTTCAGAGAGTGGGAAGGTTCTGACACCCACTTACATTTTTCGTCCACCGTTTGACTCCATCATAGCCTTTTGTCCTTAGCTTATCATAGAAGAAGCTGTTGAAAAAGTGAACCTGAGGAAGAGAACAGGGGAAAGTAAGAATCAGGGTAGATAACCGCCTGATTTTAAGGTCCCCTGTTTTTTGGAGGGAGGTGGAGTTGCAGGAGGAGGGGGATGGAACTTTGGAGGGAGGCAGGAGTCGTGGATGTTCAAATTTTTTCTAAGTGCTGTGTGAAATGCAAGAAAGGTAAGAGTAGCTTTAACAAATGTGACTGGTTGTCACAGGCATGCCCTTTTGTGAGCCTGCACGGTGTGGACACCTAGTGGAGATCAGATGAACTGCATCACAATATGAGGGTGAAAGTGTTGTAACTGTCAGTGTGATCACTCTGCTGATAGAAGATCGAGACAGACCCAAGTCATCACTGCGGCTAGTTGCCAAATATCTCAGTGTTGACATTACTTTATCTCTGATGATATATCATTATTGTGTTAGGTGGAAGATGTGAGCACATGTGAGCACTGTCATTCAGAGTTTGGAGAATATTTCTCCTTCCTCTTTGTCTTTCTGCCATTTTCTCCTCTGCTTAAGAAACTCTTAAGGCTCTCAAATGTCCTCCTCCCTTTTCATAATAGTTTTCACCTTAGGAAGGGTTAAGAAGCTTTGTGAATAACTTTTATCTTTACAAGGATCTAGTCTTAACTGAAGGAAAATTCCTAAAAAATGTCATAATTCTAGGAATTTTCTTAGAATTACGTCACAGTGAGCATCTCGTCATAACAGGAAGCTTTGTGAATATGGCCCCAGGTCTGTACATCTGTCCAGTAGTTGTTGAGATATTTCATTCTGGGCTAAAGCCAATCCTTTAGAATGGCTAAAAATCTTGGCTTAACACTTTGTTGATTATTGAATGAACACAAGACATCAGTAATGGGCACGATCATCTTAACCAAGGCAATATATAAAGCTACAAACGTCATTAGTTTTGCCAAATATGGATTAAACACCTTCTGAATAAGTCTCACTGTGTGTAAACAGTATTGTATAGGTCAAGCTGGATCGACATTTCCAACATGACTCACTGTTTAGAGCCTCTGCATGCTAAATACCCACATCTGTAAAACCTCACAACCCCAGTTGGAAATATAGGCTTCCTTTTAATAAACTGATATCTCAAGCTCAAAGCAAGATAGCCCCAATGACGTCATGAGGGCTATTTTATCAGATTTTAAAAGGCTCCTTTCAAAGTCACAGAAGACACTGTATTACTGTTTTCACAGAAGCAGTTCTCCACATGATGAGATGAAATGAGCAAAATCAGTGAGCAGCCCCTTTCATAAGCCATTGGTATTAATCCTTTATTTCCTTACCTTCTCTGGCACAGCGTCCATGACCAGGTCACCATACATGTTCATAATCTGGATAAAACAGAAAATATAAAAAAGGAAGAGGTCACATGTAAGAAACATCTTGAAAATTGACGGTAACTTTTTGGATCAGTGACTACAAAAGGTGGTGTTTAACCCATTTGGTCCATTTGTTGGTTTAAAAGGACGTCTCCCCTCAGATGAGCCACCTGAGATTCTTTCATGTATCTATATGTTCTGAATACACTTTATATTTTGCCTGACTTCAACATGAAGTCGGATAATTGTATTGATCTTAGCACAAGGAAGTGGAAGTGCTAATTGTGTGTTGGGGGATGATGTGTCAGAATCCAGCATAGCGTACTTAATGCTGCGCTCTACCTCACTTTGCTGAACAACTTCATTTTCAGCACAGAGAGGACAGTCTTTTCAGAATACTGCAAAATCTGTTTGTATTGATGTTATAGAAACTAGATGCCTTGACACACCAGGTCGCCTTTTTTGTGTGGCCACTCCAAGCACTTCTAAATGAAAATCTCTGCACTTTTCAGAAAAAAGGCTCTGGTGATGTCATTGCAGCTGGTTTAGCTATGCTACTGTCTAACCGTCACAACAAAGACAGAAATGCCCACTTTTGGGAGCAGATCAACCAGCAGACACTGGATGTTGCTGGTGAGTGTTGTGCTTTTATTACTGTTTGCTTTGTAAGCTGGTTGTTAACTGTTTTGTAAACCCTCTGTTAATGTAGCATTACTATAGCTACCTAGCTAATGTTAATGTCAAGATATTGCTGCCATAGAAACATACCCATGCAGAGCCTGTCATTACAAAAAGTGCTATTAGTGCTTTTTTATGAAGTGCTGGGATGAAGCGCTTTCAAGTGCCCTGCCACCGCTTTTCTACTGAAGAAAAACGCTATGTGGACACAGACCCTCATGCAGTGCAGGTACAGCATGTACGTGCTAGTTGGCCATTGGCTCTAGTCTTTGCTGTGTTTAAATGCAACATTTTGGCCGAGGCGACATAACAGTCAGCCTTCATCGTGTCTGGGCCGTAAGTCCAATCACAAATACACCCTGTAATAAAGGCATGAGTTGGTCTGACACAAGCTCTTGTGTGTATTCGCTCAGGCCTTCTCGGGTACATTCATTTATTGCATGTCCTTAGTACAGTTTACCAATGCAAATCACGCAGCATGATGCTAGTAAGCTTCATCATGGGCCATTTTCTCAGCGGATATTTTGGCATGTCATAGAAGGAGGAGCACAGGTGTAATTGTGCTTGGGAGCTCACTGAGACAGCTTACTGGGCCCCTTGATGGAAGTCAATGGTAGTCATTGTCACCGAATTGTACCATATTGTTTTACCTGGTCATTGAGCCAGTTCTGTCCATACAGAGTGCCCAGGTCATCCATGGTCAAAACGTGGCGTTTGTAATTGACTCTGAATGTTTTAGCCAGGGCTGATCCCGACGAACGTTGGAAGGATTGTATTAGATGCTGGACCACTGCTTTCCTAATGAGAAGCAAACCACACACATGGATACATTAGTCAGTTCTTTGCTTAATAATTCACTTACGTACATAGTGTCTCTTCAGAAGTAATAAAATACCCCCTGCTAAGTTTGATCAATCTCCAGATACCCTCATGAATATATTAAGGATTCATATGACATTTGAAAATGATTAGTCCATTAATAATTTACTCAAGGGAACAACAAATGACAGGACAGATAGTTAACTATTTGTGGGATTTTCCCTGTTCAGTGTAATTGTAAGTCAATTATTAAGAAAAGAACAGATGAATAACAATATTCTTTGCAGCACCAACTCCTCTACACTACACAGCACAAAGAAAAAGTGACCAAACACTGCATCTGACCTGTGTGGCTGTGAGAAGCTCTCGCTGAAGATGTCCTGAAGCTTCTCCACGATGTCATCCACATGGATGGGGATCAAACTGCCGTACTGCTGTAGAGACTCTTCAAGAATACCTTGACAGAAGAAAGCCACAAGATGTTATAATCAAACCATCATTTTTACAACAAGCCTGACAGGCATATATATGGATGTCCATTCAAGAGGTCCTGATCTTTAACTTAATTCTTGAAAGGTCCAGTGTGTAGGATTTAGGGGGATATATTGGCAGAAATGGAATATATTATTATCAGTAAGTTTTCTTTAGTGTATAATCACCTGAAAAACCTTAGAATTAGCCATTTATATCTATATAGGGACCAGGTCCTCAGCTACAGAGATTGCCATGATGCACAGCCATGTTTCTACAGTAGCCAAGAATGGACAAACCAAACACTAGTTTGAAATAGGGCCATTTGCGTTGTCATGTCAGCCACCATAGTTAGCAGCCCCTCCACTACAAGAGTGTCTAAAAAACATTTTTTTTTTCTTCTTCTTCTCCCTGGCAAAAACCTCTGAATGTCTGCATCTTAAGTTATCGGAGAAAAAAGGTCAGCACACATTAGCAGGTGCTGGTCCAGTGGCTTGTGTGTGTGACATGCTAAACAGCATAGGAGAAACACTGAATTGTAACATGAAGCTGCTTTATTCAGTGTATTAACTGGTTTAAATTACTTTGTCTGAACAATGAACACTGAAGGAATTCTGACCAGGAGAAGCTTTAGCTGGTTGCAATTTGCAATACTCACCACTAGATGCCAATAAATGGCCCTAAATCTTAAACACTGTTCCTTTAAAATCCTGCTTTGTCCAAAATCTGTTTCAAATCTATCTGACCTACAGCGAACAAGAGCTTATAGCCTGAGTCTCTGATTCATACCTGTCACACAACTCATGTGCTCCTCAGTAAGGGCCAGCTCGGCTGGTTTAATCTCCACTTCTCGCCTCCCTCTGTCCTCTGGCTTGACTGGAGAGCAGCCGTTAATCCGTTTATCTGAAAGAGAAAGAATTACACACACACTTCTTTTAACTCCACGCAGATTCTTAGACTTTGTCAGTATTTTTCATTTATTCCCAAGAAACAATGTGGTGACAGTGAGATGTTTTGTAATGCTATAAGTTAACTCTGCTACTTAATACACTGACAGCCCAGCTTAAACTGTGTGACATCTCAATAAAGAAGCTGAGGAGAAGCTGGAGGCTGTGAAGGACGAGTTTGCAAGTGCTGCTGTACTTTTCCACAGCTGACACAAAATGTTACTGAAGCACAATATTTTATTGATAGCAAGTAAAGAACTACACCTTTACCACCCCAAATCTCTTCCAGGTTTATCTTACGCCAAGAGCAACTTCTCAACATTCTGCAAAGTGTGACGGGTGTGGCAAACTCAATACTCACTACTAGGGACGCACAGAATATATCAGGCCATTAACTTAAGGCAGATAATGCGACATTCTTATATTAATGCATTATTCTGATGATTAAAATTATAGCCAATAAATAGCACTGATAATATGAAGCCAGACTGCTTTCATTGATTTAACACGGGCAGCATCTACACACCTGACACAGTGGGTGGCGGTACATGTTCCTTGGTTTGCGAGCCACCAATAAACACAGAGAAGAAGAACAACAACTGCAGTACACTGTCAGGAGGGCAAAACCTGTTGCAGTGTGGACGTCTTTCACAGTTCCAGAGGAAGACAACAGAATTGTGCCGAGGGTCTGATCCCCCAACGCCCGTAACAGGTTAGACACAGTGCTGAAGGGCTGTCTCCACAGTGTTAGCATGAGCTGATTAGCAGCAGCGGCTTACATTCAACAACCAAGGCTTTTAAATGTTAAAATTATTAATAACCACTATCGGTTATCGGCCACAAGGAGAAGGTAATTATTGGTTATTGGTATCGGTTGAAAAAAAATCTATATCAGTGCATCCCTACTCACTACTGTAGCACCAAATGTGGATTTATCCACTGCTTAAAACAGTCCCCAACAAATGCACTATTTCCTCCAGCTTGGAATGACCTGCTAAAAACTATAATGTCAAGACGTTTTGAAATTAAACTACATCTTTGTGAGCTGTTTCCAAAGATTCATTACTATTGTCCATTTCAACTAGCCTTATTAGAAGTAAATGTAGTGTATGTCAGTACCTCTCTCAGAGTCTGTGAACCTCTCGTCGTTGCTGTCATCCTCTCCATCGGTGTATTGTCGATACCTTTTTATCCTCCTCTGCTTGCCGTATAGATTGTGCCTTCGCCCTTTCCGGCTGTACCGGGACCCTAGGGAGCATGCCAACTGCGCCCGCTGGCGCCAGCTCTTCCAGTGCTGGGTAAGCCGCAATCCAAGGCCTCCATGGGATCGCAAGCGGGGCCAGCGCCTGAGCCGGAGCCTCCTCAGAGCCCTGTACCTGCTGAAGCTGGACCTGAACAAGTCCCCTGCCTCGGCCTCGGAGACAGTATCCACTACAGGGACACTGCCGCCTTCTTCTGCCTTCTGTTGTGGTCCGTGCTGTTGGTGTTGTTGTGAATGAGGGTGCTGGTTGGACTGGGAGGGAAAGTCTGGGATCTCCCACTCCACCTCCGCCTGGTCTCCTTCATCTTCCACCTCCTCTTCATCCTCCTCCTCTTCTTCCTCCTCCTCATTGTTATCCCAACCCTTGCCCTCAAACTCTGCCTCGTCGTCTCCATCCAGATTGTTTTCTTCATCCTCATCACCTATTGGCTTGATCCTCCCCATCCCATCCTCCTCCTCCTCCTCCTCCTCCTCCTCCTCTACATACTCGCCCGTCCACACTTTCTCTTTCTGCCCCAGTCTGAGGTGCATGGGGCTGGGCACACTGTGGCCTGACACTGGGACTATGAGGTGGTCCCCAGGAATCCCACCTAAAAACAGACACGAGCAGTGATTAACCATGTTGCCATCATGACCCAAAAGCCTTCAGGTTTTCACTTTAACCAAATACCACTGGCTGGCATTTAAGTTTAAGTTAACTGGCTCAAAACAAACCAACACTGTAATCATGGCTAGGCGGACCTCTCGCAGAGCCCGATACATATATGTATGTGCCTTGCTCTGTGACTGTCCGCCTTGCTTTGCACTGTCTTTGTTGTTGTTATTGTTGTTGTGCAGTGCATGCCTACATATACGTATGTATGCATGCACTGCACTATACTGCACTGTGATGTATTATTTTTGTGTACCTAAATTGTGAATGGGACTTTTCATCTGCTGCTAAGTATCCGATGTCTTGGTCCACTCTAAGTGGCAGGAGTGGGCCACCACATGTGGATCTATTTAACTATCATGCACTTGCACTTTAACAACTGGCACTTTACACCCGGCACTTTATAGAATCCACACTGCACTTTATGTCTATGTATGAATGGGTATTTTAATGTGAACTCCTTGTGTACTGTTATTATTATTACTCCTTCTTTTTTTCTCGTCTACCTCCTATGTGTCTGTCTGTCTATTACCTGCCAAGGGACTACGGATGTAAATTAGCAGGTTTGCTAACTCCGACACATTTACACGTGTACTCACATACTGATGTTCATTAATGTGTACTGTCCCTTTCAAATAAATAAATTAAAAAAAAAAAAAAAAAAAAGTTATCACACTACTGCTGAATGAAAATTAGTAGGAGAACAGAGCAGCTAGTTCATAAAAAAATCGGCAGAGGCAAATCATCATGTCTAAAAAACTGGAACAGGAAATGTTTGGCATATTTGCTTGTAAAACGACTTAAATCGATTTATCAGTTATCAAAAATAACTGCAAACTATAATTCCTTCAAAAAACTAAATGATTAAAAATTCAGTTCTACTTTAATTACTTGAAAATAATGAAAGCTAAACCTGCTCAGTTTTGAAAATGGATTTGAGAGGACTCAGATTCCACAAACAGATGTGAAACTGGATTCAGTTTTGATCAAATGTCATCAAACCACAACTAATCCACTTGGAAGTGGACTGAAGCACACATTTAGATATTGCTTGCACCCAGGGTCCAAAATGAACATCCGGCAAGTGCCAAATGCGGGTAGATTTGTCATTTGGCGAGCTAATTTTGAAAAGCTATCTACCACATTGGCGGTTAATGTTTGTGCAGCAGTAGTCATGTAATTCATTACTAAGCTGACAGTATCTACCACATTTTGGTGTCATTTATAGACGTGCTGCTCTGCTGCTCCTCTCCTGTCAGTGTTGGAGTTTGACACACAAACACACAGACACACACACACACACTACACAATGTGTTTTTCTGCATGTCTAAATGGTGCTTCTAGTTTTGCAGCGCTGTTTACTGTACCAGAAATCAGCTGATCCACTAAACTTATCACACTACCGCAATGCTAATGTATAGCCGATGGTTATGAGCTGCACCCATGCTAATGAAGGTAATAAAATAATAACACTAAGGCTCCATAGTCTGAACCAAGACGCATTAGCCTCACTTCTTCCGTTCTTACATTTCATAATAAAAGCCCTAGACATAAACACTACATCACTGCTTAGCATAACTTAGCATGCTGAGGCTATGATGAAAAAGAAAAATAACCTGAGTTACATTTACACTACTTAATTCTTAATTGTATTAGCAGGCAGAAACACTTCTTTTCTTATAAACTTTGTGTATCGAATGAATTGAATTTTCTCAGTTAACTGGAAAAAATCCTCCTTCTTCTTCTTCTGTTTATCAGATATTTCACAGCAAGTGGAGCCTCTTTGCAAAGTTATATTCAGATTAAATGCTCTGGAGCAGGTATGTACATCTTATCAGATCACACCATTTAGGGTCCATGTAAACACTTCAGTTGGAATCTCTAATCAGAATGACTTCAATGGGGCTGAAGAAATGTTATCCATGTAACTGCAGCTACTGACAGCCAGCGTGAGTGTGTGGGAGTGTGGGGGCAGCAGTAAGGTGATAATGATGATGTGCATATGAACTCAAAACAAACTGTTACTGATTTTAAACTATGACGCTGCTATGGTGTTAAAATTGTCTTCACAATAAAAACAGTGTTTACAATGATATATGTTCAAAGTTTGCATTTTTTAACTGAAGTTTTGCAGTGATGCATTTAATGAACACACAATTATAAATAAACAACAAAGAGTAACTCAACCAATGACTAAAATAATAAAGAAAAGTGATAGTGGCCAAACACCTAGGGTGATTTAAATTATTTTAGTCAGATATATTTGCAAATTGCAAACAACTACCAGAACTTCCATGGCGGGCAAGAGTGAGTCAATGAAGTGACATCAGTTAACTTGCAGTTTACAATTAATTGTTTAGAATAAAACTATATTTATTATGGAAAATAAAAGGTCTGGGACAGCTAGACGTAAACTTTGTGACAGTTGCAAGAGGAAGAAAGTTTATTTCAAGCCTTGCCTTGGTCACTCATGACCTTCTATCATAATTAGAACTGGGTATCAGTAATTGATACCATTAAGGCACTGACTGAAATAACCCAGTACCAAGAAGAAGCAAAACTCCTACAGTCAAACAATACCTGCATTCCATCCTTTTTGTACGCAAATCTAGAAAAAAAAATACTATTTGTATGGTTTTGCCTGCAGCCATCGCAGCAAACGTTCTTCAGTTTAATGCAACATGTGATTGGCCGGCTACCACAGCAGCTACAACCTATACAGTCTGTGTGGTGAGTTTAAGCACAATGCATTTGACGAAGTTGGCAGTTCAGCATGCCAAGATGCCACCAAATGGTCGGAAAGTATGGCTTTACTACAAGCCTGTGCCTTGTGGTGGCATTTTACACAACTGATTGTTTCCATTCACATTCACATGATAGGTATTGAATGAACCTAAAAAAAATATTCTAATCATGATAATACAAGCCTTATTAGAATGTACACATATTAACATATTAACCGGTAGTAAAATGCCTACCTCCTCCTGTGTCGTCCTGCCCCACAGCGGTCAGACCCAGGTCTCCCTGCCAGCGGTTCTGGGCCAGGCTACCGCCACTGTCTCGCATTATCCACGGACAACCCACGACTTGCGCCAGCTCGTCACCTGCAAACAACAAACAGTCTAGAGTGGGGGTATAACTACTTCACTTTCTATAGAAATGTAGCTTGCTATTTATATTTGAGTGAGAGAGGACATCACTTTGAACACAGATGACCCACAGCGCTGCACTCTCACTCCTCACTGGTCACACTGGCAATTTCTAAGATTCAGTTGACATTGTTTAACACAGTCATATCCCCAATCAAACAAGATACGGTTCAATAAAACAAAAGGTCAGGTGAAAATTATTGAAATGCAGCTGCCATATGGGTTAGGGAGTGGGAAAAGATTCCCTGACACTCGTAATGTTTTTCTCTCATCATTCCAAACATTACTCTGTGATTGTGTCGCACGGTGCTCCCACTGCAAACCTTAGGGAAAAATGTAAACCCAAACATTTGACCTGTTATCCAGCAGGGGTTTACATCTTCACATGTATTTTTGTAATGTGAAAGATATCTGCTGTCAGCTTGGAATGACAAAATGTTTGCCCAAGTCAAAAAAAAAACAAAACACAACATTGAAATTGTGCCAGCTGCCAGCCTGGAGTTTACATGTGCCCAGACACAGGTAAGAGTAAATTAGAGTGGCACAATGGGTAATAATTATTAATTTAAGTGGACCAAATAACAACTGTGAGATAAACAAAGTCCCTTTCATGATGCAAACCGCTGCCGCATATCAGGTAGGTTATAATTCTGCTATAATTCTGATAAATTCAAGAGGCAAATTTGCTCGGTATTATCATCAAAGGGCAGCTGTCATGGGAGAAACACATTAAAATATTGTACAGAAAATGGATAGAGGAATATCATATATAAGAAGATGTTCCTCTTTTTTAACTTTGCCTCTTGGATGCTAGTGACACAGGCACTGGCAGCCAAAAAACATCTAAGCTCAAAGTAGCTCAGAATAACACAGCAAGGCTCGTACTATACTGTCCGCTAGGTGTGAGGCAGATTACGGAGAGAGTACATGCCAATCTAATGTGTTTCTTCAGGAATATCTAGTATGAAAAACAACCAATTTTTTATACAAATTATGTGAGAGACCAACGTAGTCATACTACCAGGTAGGCTGTTAGTGGCTATTTAGGTAAAATCCCAGAATAGAGGCAGTTTGTAGCTCTGCAAAGTATCAAGCCACCAGAATGTGAAACAAGTTACCAAAGAAGTTCACTGAAGCACCCAGTAAGGAGTTTTAAAGGACTACTGCAGAAACACATTACTGATAACCCTGTCATAAACCAAGCTTACCACAAAGATTGAATGCAATGTGATATGTTGTTACATTTAGTTTTTCTAATTGATATTTCATGTCTTGAACATGCTCTTATTGAGACTTTTATGTGTTTTATGAAACATAGATTATTATATGAGCCTTTTTATGTGCTATGTCTAATGTAATGTAATGTATTGCAATGTTTAGATGTTAACTTGAGTTGTATTTGTCTTGGACACATTCTTACTCAGACTTTTTATGTGTGTATGGCTTGTTTTGTTGTGTGTGTGTACCACCAGAAAGAGTAGCTGCTACCTTAGTGGGGCTAATAGGGATCTGAACAAAGATGATATACAATATATATAGCTTATGAAAGCACTGTTTATGCCTTGTGATGACAGTGATACAATGGGCACAACCAAAGTTAGCTGGACTAAAGCATCACTTTTCCATTAACTATATAACAGGCAGTAATAACGGCCTATGACCTTCCTATGGAATATTACTATACGTTAATTCACAAAACTATGAGGCTGTTTTAATAGGAATTAAAGCCTTCTAGTCAGACTTGCTAATGAGGGCACAGTTAAAGCGTTAAGCAAGCTACAAGCTTTATTATATTGTCCAGTCTTCATCCAGAATACACACTGTTGTCCCTTCACAGGCAGAAACACTGCTGTTAACACCGGGGGACTGTGGTTACCATGTGCACCTGGCCAGAGAGCGGATATCTCATTTAGCTTGCTAGCTTGACTGAGTAACGTTAGGACAATAACTGAGCAACGGAGCCAATTAGCCTTAATAATAGTGAATAATTTGGTGCGGCCTGTGTCCTGTGCAGCACCAAATTTTATTGAGAGAAGCTGCTCTATGATGAGAACAATTCTTTCCGGTGCAGGAAATAGTCCTTACCACGGCTAGCTTGTTCGCGTTGAACGCTAGCAGCATCACCGTCACACTTTCACCACTTAAAACCTAAATAAAACTCGCATTAATTGCAAACCTTGTTTTGTCAGTGCCTATGGATAGCCGAGGCCCCGGCACCACCATTAATTACAATCTGAAACAGCCAGAATCCTTTAATAATCCGTTGTCCATCGGTGCTACCATGTTAGCTAGCTAGTTATCCGTGTTGTCGTTAGCTAGCTAGGCAGATACCATGTTAGCAACAACAAAATAAAACGCCCGGCGCGCTGTATTCATGCATAGCTAGGTGTTTCATTTGTATTCTTACCGTTAGCCTGCAGATTTATATGAATGTGTCCAGCTGCTTCCGACTGAATGTTGGGCGTGTTTGGTATTGTATGGTTATCGAACCAAAACAAATGCTAATTGGTGTTAAACCTCATTCAATGAAGTCAGGTGTGGAGCAGCCAGATGTCACCTCCTTGCGAACTTTGATTTCTTTTAGGTCTTCCGGTTCAGAGAAAAACGCAAATGCTTAACAGAAATGATGGATTACAGTATGTGCAATCGACAAGAGGAATCTATTTCAATTAAAAAGGTCTGCAAGGGAACGAGAAATGCGCTGAGCCGGATCACTGCAGATTTTTCGCTCTCATGTCAACTACAACAAGTCCGTCGCGCAGCAATGGCGTCATACAGGCTCTGTTTTAAGGATAGCCTTTAGTTTTAGAGTTTTCTATGTAATTCCTTCTATAATCATAATGCTGTTGACTTGTTTTACTTCCCACGAATGCTTACTCACACTGTCAGTTTATCTGACACTGCAGTGGATGATTTGAGGTTTTCAGGAGGGCATCACAATAATAATGGAACAATTAGAGTTTTAGCTGTCACAATTCCTCACATAATCCCATTCGGAATGATGGAGTGATGATGCCTTGGAGACAAGTGTGGTCCGTGCCTCTTAAGGAGTTTCTCACTAATAAAGTGAGAGAAGTTACTTCTAAATTAATTCACAGATTCTACCTTGCAAAATCTTTTTCCTGAAGAGATTTGAGCAGGACACTGACTCTGACTGCTGCTTTTGTAAAAACTGGCATGACATTGTTTTTACCCCAATTTAAATATTGCAAACACTTCCAAGTTTAGAAACAGTATTTTAGTGGGTTAAATAACATAAGTGAAACACAATCTGTTTTATTTTGGATTCATTTGAGCACTCAGATTGAGTCAGATTTCGTTCATTCATGATATGATTTCTATAAAGTTTATGACACAAGAAAACTAACAGTCGGAAAGTCTGAGACCACTAGCCACAATTATTCTATTTTGCATTTGTTTCAAATGTAACACTATTTTTGCGTTGCAAATGATAATATCAGCTTAACAATTTGAGTGAAATATAGAATTTTTGAAAAAATGTGGGCCTACATGAACTCGGAATATCTTCGTATTTGGCACGCATTTAAATTTTACATGGACTCCACAAATTTGTGCATACCCTAATGACCCATGTTATCCCAGAATGATTTGGCAGTGTGCCAAAGCACTTCTTGTGATGTCACAGAATGCTTGGCTTTGTCAGTGTGCAAGTGCCCCCATAAATGTTCAGCAGGGGCACAGGCAGGACTTCTTGATTTTCTTTGGTCTTCATGTTAAATGAAATGGACTTGCATTTGTATAGCGCCCAGTATTCTGACCATTAAAACCACTTTCCACATTCAGCCGTTCACACACACATTCATTCATGGCTGAGTGTATCATACAAAGTTAAACATTCCCATGCATTTGCACAGCAATGTCACAGCCATTGGGAGAATGTGGGGTTTAGTATCTAGCCCTAGCATGCTTCCGACATGTGGGCTGGAGAAGCCAACGATCAAACCATTGATTTTCCAATTACTGGACAACCCGCTTTACCTCCTGAGTCACAGCCAGTCAAGTTCTTCTTGCAAAGCATTTAGCGTTCCATCCACTGTCCTTAGAAACCTTTAGTCTAGCCATGACTGGATGCTGAGAAAGCCCCTCTTTGCTTAGAATAACAATTTGGCTTCTGATGCAATGTTTCCCACTATCACAATTATACTTAGTGAGCAATAATTTGCTGTAAAATTGAGGCACAGCCATATTTATGACCGGTGAACACTGGTTGCAAGTTACTAGCAAGTTACAAGTTACTTAAATGAGCCTCAGCTGAGTAGATTAAATGTCGTCTGAACGTATGTTTCAGTGGGAGTGATGGAAATGTAATCTTTTGTACCAGGAGTTAAGTTGGTCAGTGTCACTAGATTGGCTCAAATTTCATTGTTGACTTTAAATGTTTCTGAAGCCTCAAATTTTCTGATTATTTCCAGGTTTACATCAACATATTAGAGACTGTCTACAGTATGTGGTTGCAGGCGTTTGGACCCTACTGTACTCTTAGTTTGCATTCCCTGTTATATTGTAATATTTGTATTTGGTGATGAGTTCATCAAAGTTTTATGTTTTACCAAAATATCAACTGTGCTACTAAACTCAAACCTTCAAACCTAATAAAGAACGTAATTGGCACCTCTTATATTGCTCAGACTAGTTTATAAATTGTAAATCTCTCTTTGTGCCGGTAGATTAAAGATTGTCTTAAATGATATCATCTCTATTACACAGACAGGTTAATGAAAAATATGCAAATTTCTGATCATTTTCACCTTGTTTTATATTTATTTGATGACTCATATTTTATAATGAAGAGGCCCTTATCCTGTCCCTTGACTTTTGTAAGGTCTTTAATACTTCAGAAGAACCTTTTATGTATGAAACTCTTCATTAGGTTGGCTTAAGTTACAACTTCAGAAACATGAGTACATTAGAAAATAATACCAAACATAGTAGTGTTACTTTATCAGCCTCAACCTCTCCCAGATTTGTCTTTAACAGAAAATTAAAGGTGTGTTCCCTTTGCACTGGGAAAACCAGAATTTTCAAAGTTCTCAGACGGTAATTTCAACTGGAAAACCCCCTGAAGTCAGATTTCCAACTCGGAAAGTCAGAGGAACCTCACCAACCCCAACCTTAAAATTCAGTATGGCTGCTCTGCACCTTAACAATAGCGAAAGCTCTAGCAAGGTACTGTTTATTAGCACTAGTGTATTATCTGGGTCTCATTAAAACAGTCATACACACAGTCCAGTCCAACCTCTATCCATGGACATGTTGCTCCGGTGTTTTGATGCACAAAATGAAGCATAATGCATTATTATCAACTGGTATTGCTAACAGTGTCTAACCTGGCTTGAAATGATATCGCTAACGACATCTTGGTTTTATGACTTGCTGTACTGGAACACGATCAACTCAGGTGTGACGTCATTCCCATCACCGACCTCCAACTTCAGAGGTAAGTGGAACACAGCATCACCATCCATTATGCCAAAGTTGAGAGCATCTCAGCAAGAGACAATGCTCTTTATACTAGCCATCTGGCTCAGAAGAAAATCAGGTTGAACTCAAATAAATGTGAAATACATGGTTTGTTAGATGCTCCCAAGGCTGTCTGCAGGGCCAAGAGTTTCAACACTGGTGCCTTGGTCTGATAACAGTTTAAACACAGGTCCACATGAACTGCCCTGATAGTGAGGCACTTAGATATGATGCCACATCTCTTCTCATTTCTGCAGCTCACCTTGATGATGTAAAGGCCAACGCAATCCACCCCTTTTGAATAAAAGGCAGTATCCAATATCTCCGCCTAGCTTCAACAAACCCTTTTCCTGCGGCAGAGAGACATATCTTTCCATGTAGATCCTTAATAATCAGCTGGATGTCCTTGTGCTTGGGGTCAAGCACTACAGAATGCATGGCTGGTTGGTTGAGGAGGAATATGAAGGACAAAGCAGTCTTTAATACCAGTGAGCTTAGTGTTATTGTCCAATTCAGGGGCTAAAGTCATCAGATTAGCAGCTTTTCTCTTTCATATAATTACGCAACACAAAAATGGGCTTTTGATATGTATTTTTAAGTTGTAAAAACATAGTGGGCTGTTTAAGTCAGATCTCTCCTAAGCCACCCACAAATATCAGTTTACTCAAAAAATTGAAGTAGATTTACTATCGGCCCTGGACATGCATAAGACGTCCATTTCACATCTGGCAGTCCAAGCCCACTTTTGGACATTATATTGATGGTGTAACAGTAGAAGCTCACCAGACTACGAGAAGACAGATGGCCTTTTTTTAAGTCTCCTCGGCAAGAACAGATGCTGGTGAGCCTTCTTGAACTCCCTTAAACTTCACACCGGCAACACGCTCAATCTCTGTCCCCTTCATGTAAATGATATGTGTGTGTGCCGCATTGGGTCTTTCTAAAGTCCACAGTGAGCTCTCTTGTCATCTTGGCATTGAGGGCCAGGCTGGACCTCCTCCCTGTAGGATGAGTCATCCTTGTTGTCGGTGAGGCCAACCACCGTTGTGTCATCTGCAAACTTGAAAATAGTATTGTAGTCATGTACATGTGTGCAGTCGTATGCAAAGACAAAGTAGAGGACCCAATACACAATCCTGTGGGTCACCAGTGTTCAGGATGAGGGTTAAGATGGTGTGATTCTACAACCTAACATTGTCTGTTGGTTAGGAAGAAAAATATCCAGTTACAGAAGGAGATGTCGATGCCAGGGTCACAGAGTTTTTGACTGAAGGGATGAGGATGCTGAATGCTTAGTGGATGATGTTGCTGTCCAAGTGGGAGATGGCATCCTCTGTACACCTATCTACACCTAAAGGATCCTGGAGGAGTTGTATAGCCTGTATTTATTTTTTCCCCATGGAACCCCTGAATCTTAAATTAACAACATACATGAACAATCTCTTGCTGCGAAACTATAACAACCTCTCATAAGACTTAAATATATGGACAAGTAACAAGTATTCTTTACAACTCTTTAAGTGAGACTTCACTTAATTTTAATTCTGTCCACTGTAAGAAAATTGACGTTTTGATAGTGCACCAGGTTTAAATGTGAACAGGGATGTAATTTGGATAAAACCCTGATCAACTTATTTTGAGCAATCTGAAGCTTATTTCATGAGGTGTGGAGAACTGCTGTACCAGAGGGTGACAGCATAATCAAAATGACATTGAACAAAAGCCAGAATGTTTAATGTTGCACGGTCAAGCTGCACAGGGTGGAATATTGTGACAAACTGATAATATGCGTTATCTAATATTTTGCTATTTTAATGCTAATTGGCAGTCATCTGGGTAATGATATACAACAACAAAAAAATCAAAAATATGTTGTTTTTTCAAAGAACGGCTGCTTAAAATGTGAATGGCTGTGTAAAATATTAATACACATCTTTGTATAACACACAATATACACATTTCCAATACAGTATGTTCAAAATAGTCAGCAAAGGAGCAAAAAAAAAAACATTAATAAAAAATTATTTACGTTCATATCTCACCTGTACTATAGCCTGTTATGAATACTGAGCCACTTGCTGCAGCTCTACAGCATAGCATTAAATAATTCTTACCACAATCCTTCAACATGAAATAAGACTCTATGCAGATGATATCTTACTGTACTTGTAAGACCAAAAAAAAAAAAACCTTTTATCTCAACAACACCTTCTCAAAGTGGAGGGTTTCCAGTTTCAGGTTCCTAGGAGCACATATTATTAAAGACC